AGTAGTGTCTCTTGTCTCTGGCTCAGTCTTTTCAGCACAAATTAATCAACTTTGATACTTGTTAAATGTGTCCTTCAGCCCCCACTTTGGGCACCCCTGACTTATGCATGTTCTTACAGCTTTGAAGCATGTGTTTAAACTTGTCAATGACAAAAGCATTGCATTTTCCTTAAGAGTGCATATGCATTGAAAGTATAACGTGCTTTTCATTCTGGGAGTAATGACAAAGTAAGGAATCGTAAGTCTTCTTGGACCACTGAACTAAAAAACTAAAAAGGCCCAAAGACCAATCCAATATTTCTTCCTTTTTCCATGTTATTTCACCAAGAAGTGTCATGTAGAATTGTAATATTTCATTGGCTCAAAAGAGACTCTTCTATCCCTAGTCCAGGCTTGTCAAACTCAGGCTCGTGGGCCAAATCGGGCCCGCGAGACAACTGTTAGTGGCCCCTAAAATAATTTAGGGGCTCTGTGTCCAGAGACCTTCCAGAGACTTTATATAACACCAGTTTGTGTTCACAGAGGTGCGCCATACGTTTATTTTATTATTAGACGGTATTTCCGCATCGGCGAAGATGCTAGCTGCGCTAGTTTAGTCTCTGGAGAATGTCAACTCTGGCTCGAGGCATATGTTCGCGAGCACACACAAAAAGACAATTTCTTAAGGGGAAAGGAAAGTGTCCGTGTCTAAGTTGTAATTTGTTATTTTTGAATGAAGATGATTTTTTCAGTAAGCTAGGCCTATCTTCAACATAACTGTTGTATTCTAAATGTTTATTTCATTTTTATTGTTTTTGCTGGAAAAGCACTCCCTCTTTAGCTTAAAGCCCTCAAGTTTACATTGGTTACTGTATTCTTTCAGTATTTTGAGTGAACTTTTTTTTTTTTATTGAATGCTAAACATCAAGTGTTGTTTTCATCTGAAAGAAGAATAACAAGATGCATTTTTTTCAGTAAGATAGATGTGTTTTCAAGGCTTCAAGGTTTTATGCTTCCTCTGACTAAGATTGTCTTATTTTTGAGCAATCAATATATTTTGTTAAGGACTTCATGTTTTTTCATTCAGATATGAAAATCAACATGTATACATTGATATTAGTCAATTAATGGGGAGATAATCAATAATCGAATTCGAATCGGATTGAGAAAAATGAATAGTTAGATTAATCGATGGCTCGGAAAAATAATTACTAGATTAATCGTTTAAAAAATATTCGTTTACACCCTGCTCTAGCCCATCGGTGACTCGTCCATCTGCAGCTCTGCTTACACTGGCCTACTTTAGCGGCTCCCACTGCCACAGAAGCGACTCAGCCTCTGACTCCGCACCGTCACAGCAGAAAAGAGCCATATCAGCACCAAAACCGGTTTGGACATGATAGGATCTGAAGCGCTGGAGGGGATCGGGTTTCCACGCGGACTGGGGGCAATCAACGACACTCCAAACTCAACACTCGTTTTATTATCTACATTGTTGTATGTGAATTAATGGCTGTCTGGTTTTTCAAGCCTATTTCTCTGGATCAGGTTCTGCAGCCACTGAAAGAACAAAAAAAATAAGATAAGATAAACGTTATTGTCTCAAATGGAAAATTTGCCGTTTGAACAGGAAAATGCAGTAGTGTTTTGAAGTCTCTGTTTGATCCAATTCGACATCAAATATAAATATAGTTCTGCATACAAGCTGAAATACTTCATACAGTTTTAGAATGTATTCATTATTAATTATATTTATTTAAAAGGGCCACTAAAGTTGGGACCAAAGAAAAGCTTGAAGCATTTTGTCCTGAGTTGAGCCAGTGAGAGTGTGGTCTGCTCATGGATCAGGTGGACGGAGGGAACTTCATCTCCAATTCTGGATTAAACATGCAATATCTCAGACAGCTTTCAAAGAAGGAGCTGTAGTAAATGGTAATTATTTTTGTCCACACTACAAATAGCCACAAGCATCTCCAAAAATATAATCTATAGGCCAGTTTTTTGCACAGGTCTCATCAATCCATATAAGATGGTTGTCAATATACGGGGCGAGATACTATTGAGTCTGTTTTCTCAATATGCACACCATCATTTATTTAAATCAAAGACCAAGGTGCTTAATTTCGAAGATAATTTATTTGGTTTTAAATGTATTCATGTCCAAGGCCAAGGTTGTCTGGAATTTCAAGCAGAATTTGGAATTGTGTGTGTTCTTTCATTATCTGCATAACCATCATCAACCAAGCCTCCGGGCCAAACAGCAGTGGACAGCCAACCTGGGACGCAGATATAACATGGAAGTTGGATCGTAACCTGATTTTTCTACTACTCTACTACTCTGGTTTCAAGATACCAGAATCTTCAAACATGCACTGGGGGTTTTGCGGCTGAATGTGAAGGCAAGGCAAGTTTATTTATTTATCTGTATAGCACAAATCATACACAAGGCAACTCAAAGTGCTGAACAAACAAGATAGACACAGTCACACAGGGCAATAGTCACAGTACATTAAAAGGAGAAAATATAAAATCCCTCAGTTGTATGCACAGCTAAACAAAACTGCTTTTCTGGTTTTGAACATTGTCGGAGAAGAAGCCTGTCTTACATTTTCACGAAGGCTGTTTCACATTTTATCTGCATGATTCTGGAATGTGGGGCGACAGTGGCTCAGTTGGTAGAGCATTGGGCTTTGAGCCTGAAGGTCGTGGGTTTGAGCCCACCATGTGACCTTCTCCACCGACTCCCACTGATGTCTGCTGTCGTTGTGTCCTTGGGCAAGACACTTAACCCCAATTTGCCTGAAGCCCCCGCTGAAAGATCAAGGCTCCTGCGGACTCACCACCTGCAGGAGGATCAGTGAGGGGCTGGTGCTCTGTGTACTGGGTGGCATCTCTGGCCACCCCCCCCCCGACCCAGAAATGGATTAAGGGGAAGAAAATGGATGGATGGATGGATTCTGGAATGCAGCCTCCCCATGTTTAGTTCTGACTCTGGGCACCAGCAGGAGGCCAGTTCCTGTGCTCCTCAAAGTAAGTACGTAATGTTTATTTATATAGCACATTTTTACAGACCAAGGTCACCCAAAGCACTTTACAATTCATATCTGTTCAGAAATCAGATATTTTGCCATTCACACATGCACGGTTATGACAGAAGCGAAATGCTGAAGACACTGGCGCATCAAAGCCTCCAACACCATCCATTCAACCACTCATTACTTGCGCACCTGGAGGAAACCTATGCAGACACAGGGAAAACATGTAAACTCCACTCAGAAAGGTCCTGTTCCAACCGGGAATTGAACTCAGGATCTTCTTGCAGAGATGCGAGAGTGCTATCGACTCAGCCAACCTGGTCGCTCTAAGTTTGGACAAACATGTAACTTATGTACTTTAGTGCGAGGCCATGGAGAGGTGTTCCAACAGTCTGTCCTAACAGGAGGAGGCCCCAAGGAAGACCTCAGGAAGACCCAGAACACCCCGGAGCGACTTATGCCTCTCAGCTGGTCGGGGAATGCCTCGGGATTGAGCTGGAAATGTGTGGAGAGGTAAGTCTGGCCGTTTCTGCATCTGTGAATATTAAGCTCAAGCAATTGTGCCGACTTTTTACTACTGTCCCACGTTAGTTGTAGCGGTTCACTGGAGCGAGCTGTGGAATTTTCTTTGAAGTGTGCCAAAAAGTCTGCACGGCACAACCAAATGTTTTCTCATTACTTTTATTCAAGGATATATTTTCTAACACGGTTGAAAGACCAAATGACTTCTTTATAATAATACATTTTATGTCTTAATCAAAGTCACCTTATATACAAGTGAATAGTGGTTATAATACAGTTGAATACACAGTTAAAATAAACAAGGGATGTGGTAATTACAGGCTTTAGTACATTCTCTCCTGTTTAAACATGGAAGAGCTTAATCAGTACAAGATAAGATGTGAAATAAGAATAAATTAATGAAGGAATTAATAAATAACAAAAAATAAATAAATAAATAAAAAAGTCCTCTTCCCACATGCATCTCAAGCATACGCTTTTAATGCACAACATCCCAAACCTGTTTTTAATGCACCACACAGTCACACATTATGCAGGGATGCTGCTGGAAGAGTTACACTAATCGGTCTAGCACCTCGCTCCCATCTCTGTGTGGAGTGAGAAGACTAATGCTCAAAATTGTAAAACTACTTTGTGACTCTGGCCTGGATAAAGATTACTTACTTTCTTACCGAAAACATTAAAATGCCTAGTTATGCCCCCCCCCCCCCCCCCCCTGGATTATAGCACCTCAACTCCTCCTATGTTTTTAATATTAATACTATTAATACTATTATTGTTATTGTTACTATTCTATCTTTTCTTTTTCCCCTCTCTCACTACCGGTCAATAAAAGGAAACCTTCAACACCCTCAGATACCTATTCAATACACCAAAAGTGAACACACACATACACACACACACACACACACACTCGCGCACGCTCAATCCCCCCCTGTCCCCCCTCCTGACCCTATGTAAATACTTATATGTTTACGTAGTTTCATATGTACAAATGTGTCTGAATGTACGAATGTGTGTATAATGTCTGTGCTGTAATATATTGTATATGCCAATAAAAAATAAAAATGATAAAAAAGATAACATGTGAAAGACTTTATTGATCTCACAATGGATAAATGTGCAAGTCGCATTTGGCTTAAATAGGATCGCTCAGGGTGTGCAAAAGACAGAATATGTGCAAACAGGAAACAAGTATTGGTTTGTCGCAGTAGTCCTGGATGAATCCGGACAATGAGAGCGCTGTGCTCCTCATGACACGCCGTGATTACAGTAAGTGACAACGCATCTGAAACCACAGGACATGTGCTGATGCTGCAGTTCGAGCCTCCCCCTCCTCCTCCCACTCCGTCACACAGACAAAGATCAGAGCCACTTCCCAGAATCCAGCATATGACTTCTGTTACATCACATCATTCTCTGCTAGTTCAAAGGGGTGAAGTTAGTGGGAATAGTTAAGGGCGAATGGCTCAGAGCTTCTCCAGACACACACACACTGCTGGAGATGGAGATGGAGACGAGGTGGGCGCTCTCCTCCACCGTGATTCGTACAAATGGCAAATGTTCTCTGCATTTTTAATTGTATTTGGAGTGATGTCAAAAGCATTGCCTCCTCGTTTGGGCCTTTCAGAAAGAGGAACAAAATGACCTAATTTTGGGATGCACCGATTTAATTTCTGGGAGCAAACAAAAAAGATTCTGTTGGATACGATGTCAGGCATGTCAAATTTAGGCTCGCAAAACCATTTTTAGTGGACCCTGAAATGATAATCAATTATTGTTAACTGCATGTTATACCTCATTATAAAGCTGATTTACTTTGGGAAACAATCATATATTTTCATTATTTCTACAATTGTATTCCAACATGTAATTAGAAGTTAAAAAGTTAAATATACAGTATGTCTTTCTGTTTCTTCCCAACAGAAATCGTCTCCTAAAAGTAAAATCAAACCACATTCTGTTATCTTCTTTTTTTTAAACATTAGCTTTTGCATTCTTGTATAGAAAGAGCCCTGTGAGTCATCATTCTCTTTGGCCTGAGAGCTGATTGAGGGTGGTCCTCTCTTTTTCCCTTTTCTCTCTGAGAAATCAGGTCTAAAGATGTGATAGAGGCCAATAAAACATGCATGTGAAACCTAGTTAGAACCATCTGTTTCGAGAGTCACGAACTACTGTCAATACAGTATAACGTCTTTTGCAGATCTGAAAATTCTATGAGAGCATAGGAGTAGCACTGATACTGATTTCAATCTCACAATAGGGAAAACCTGTCTTGTCTGAAAATCTCCATGGCATAAGCTGTTTTCCAAGCGAAAACTAAATATTTAGACAATGCTCATCCCACAGTTTCCCTCCGGCTCCATGTTTATATCTGCATTTTTATAAATACTGTCCTCTTCAGCGCACCACCTCCTCACTAACCAGAGGAAGCATTTCTCTGGCACTTGTTTAGAAGTTTTAACACAAATGATGTACAGCAAAAATAAAAAACTGAGGCTAAAATACAGTTAGCTTAGCCTGTCCAAGTCACACTGACCCAGGAAGCCACAGCAAGGACATATTCTGGGAAAAAGCCATTATGAAGAAACCCCACTGATCATCCCAGAGATCCTTGCATGGGCGCCAGAGCATGGGAACACTATACAAAGCTCTGGACAGCGAGCAAAAGGCGGACTGTAAATCTGGGCCGGTCCTTGGAGAGCCCACTGGACCGAGAGCGCGTCCATATTTCCTGGGGAGATCTTGCGCATACCGGCAAAACCACAAATTGTGAGAAAGCACATTGGAATGAGTGATGACAGGGGTATAAAAATGGCGGCCAGAGAGCTTGTTTTCCATGAAATGTTTTCCGCTTTGCAGGTGTTGAGGCCGTTGAATGACTGGACTTGGATTGGACACAGTTGGGAGATGTTCAGAGCCAGACGTAAAACATAGGAATGAGGAATGATTGTTTTTGCGCGTGGGTTTCCAAGGGTCTTGAGCAAAACAGGCAATAATTCAATTGTGTGAAGTAGGATTGGTCAATTACATTCATCAAGACAGAAAGATGTCTGCGAGCGTGTAGTCTGTAACGGAGAGGGGATATGAACAGTCTTTTTGGCTCATTTTCGTGGACTGGAAAAGCCTCTTGTCTACTCTTGTTACATCCCTGTGCGCTCGCAAGCACTCCCAGCATTTCTTTCTCTTTACAGTCGCTTGAACTTTGGCACATTTTGTTTACAACCATAAATAGAGAGGTTTTTTTAATTGTATTTATTATTAACAAAGATGGACTCACCACCTGCAGGAGGATCAGTGAGGGTCTGGTGTTCTGTGTACTGGGTGCAGCTCTGACTGCCAACCCCCCGACCCAGAAATGGATTAAGGGGAAGAAAATGGATGGATGTATGGATAACAAAGATAACGGATAACTGTGAAGTGAAGGCAAAGTTATACAAACAATATGAGTTCACCCTTTAGGCGTCAAAGTAGACGTTCTATACATTTTTCTAACATGCTTATGTCTGTTATAATATTTTGTTGTCCTTGCTCTCTTATAACTTTTCAGAGCTCCACATTTGTAAAGTGCTTTGTCTGACCTTGGTCTGTAAAATGCACTGTATAAACTACCTGCGGACTGCCCTGCCCGACTCGCCTGGGAGTTGCTTCAGTCCTGCACCGGACTTGTCCATGTTCTGCGGCCGCTGCGTGGCCCTGGTCCTTGTTCTGTAGCTTAGGTCCTGGATCTATAGCCTCAGTCCTCGTTCAACAGTCCGAGTCCTGGATCTATAGCCCGTCCGTCCGTGCGGAGCGGATCCCTCTCTCAATGAGGGTCTCCCCGAGGTTTCTCACTTTTTTCCACTAGGTTTTTGTGAGTTTTTCCTTGCCGATGCAGGAGGGTTGGACAGTTTGTGTCCAACTAGAAGGACTGTGGTGATGATCTAGGACACTTAAACATTCTACAACATGTATTGACATTTATCAACATGTGTTCTATATTCTTTATGTGTTTTAACTGTTGATTCTCCGATCTGTGTTGGTGATTTCAATGGTTTTGTTAAGTCCTCTGAGATGACATCTGTTGTGATTTAGGGCTATACAAGAATAAATTGTATTGTATTGTAATACACTTACTTGTGTCTGTTCACATAAACTATTTGAAAAAAAACTCTACCCTATGGGGTTAAGGCTACCCCTTTGCTCAAAATTGCAAGTCATAAGCTTTGCACATCCAGAGACTGAATGTTTTGCCCATTTGTCTTTACAAAATAGTTATCTCAGATAAGTGATTTGTTTAGGAGGTTTTTGTATACAATGTCCCAAGCATTATACGCTAAACAAATTGGATCAGCTCTGTCATTTACTAGTGGCACTTGGAAATACATCCATCTGTTTCAGGGGTCGGCAACTCAAAAAGTTCAAAGAGCCATATTTGACCAAAAATACAACAACAAAAAATCTGTCTGGAGCTGCAAAAACTTCACTGCCTTAAATAAGGCTTATATGAAAGCAACACAGGCTGTAAGCTGTATCAGCCTACTATGAGTAAGTATAGGCTACAAATACATAATATGCATTCATGATTATTTATTTTCACTGTGCAAGATGCACCATGTGACTACTCTGCTATACAATGTATGCTTTAATGTACGCTTTTATGTATGTGTTCATGCAATTGTAGAAATACAGATCGCACTGTTTCTCTCCAAACTGGGGTCAGCAGCCAATTTTCCACATGACTCTTTTTGTTCTTCGATATATTCTCATTAGAAAGCAAACATGAAGCAGTCCTTCCTCATTGACAATGAAAGCAAATGTTCCAGTCCATTCTTCCCTGAATTCTCGGTCCTTTTCAACAATTTCCCTTTTTAGCTTTGGGAATTATGTGGACTCATGTGGCACACGCCGGTTTGTTTACAACAGCGGCCGCCCGGCGCAGGGCTGCCTAACCGCGCGTCGCAGGATATGACGCAAATCTCAGTTGACAGAAATGTTGAAATTGAATATTTCTTATGCACATTTTTACTACATTGGAAAAGGTTAAGAATGTTGTCCCTCCTACAGAAACCACATTGAAACCAGAAATAAAATATACCCCTCCACTCCATTTTCAGACATTTATGAAGAGACTCCTGGAGCCACTCGACGGGCACTAAAGAGCCGCATGCAGCTCCAGAGCCGCGGGTTGCCGGCTCCTGATCTATTTAAATCAGATTTAATACGACATGACAATCCTAACCCTGATTTTGACCTTTGCATGTTCAGGCCAAATCTTGAAATATAAAAAGAATTCTCTACTGTTAAAGCAGATTCTGGGATGAGCTGGTGCCGGTTATAGGGTTCAGAAATGTCCCTTCTGTGATATGAGAGAAATGTCTTCTTCTAAATAAAATAGAATAGTACAACTTTATTCTCCCCAGATGGAATTTGTCCAAATAATCTTGTCACAAATATACATTTAGGAAAAAACCATAATAAATACATTCCAGAAAGATACATTTGAGAAGGACAGTGTTGCTTTGTCTTTTGAGCTTTATAATTTAAAACTGTAGATGATGGTGTGAACTTGAGATGGTTAGATCCACAGTTTGACGCACAGCCTTCTCCCCGTTGGTAGCACAGTACTTTGATGACAGTGGCTGCTCCTTTCTACAACCTCCCCACTGTCTGAAGAATAACGGTTCTCTTAATCTTCATAGTTCTTGTGTCCAGTTGTTTTTCTATCTCACATTTGTGGATCTAGTTATTTTTCAGCAGAACACTCATGGATGGTGCCATACTTTCAACTCAAAACTCAACTCACTAATACTCTATCCAGTTTAGATCCATGGCCTGAACCATGAGAGGGGAAGCTGTATGTTGAACCTGCACATGGTTGTTCGAATGTCATTATGTTTCTTTATTGTCTAATTATGTTCAAATATCAAATTTAATAATCCCAGTCCTAGTCCATTCTGAATGTTTTTTCTCTTTTCTAGTCATCCTACCAGGACAGGAGGGCCGTAATTGTGAGAGTAAGTATACCTCTCTACACAAATGAAAGAAAGAAAAATAAATAAAAGTTAATTATCTATTCGCTTTTACTGTCATCCGCCCCTGATTGACAGATCAGAGACGTTGACGTTTCTATTTCTATATGATTCTCTGATTTTTGATCTGGCTAATTTACAATTTTGTAAAGTTTTCCGAAAAAACTACAGTTGTGATTTAGGGTTGCATAAAATGAAATGGAATTGAACAATCTTTTCCTATGTCCGTGTCTCTTTCAGCCTTCACTCTCTTCCAGTTGATAGCAGTGGGACTTGCTATCTTCTTCGTCGCCGGGTTACTCTCCGCAATGGGCTTTTCCTACTGTTACCATGTCAACCGGACGTCGTCGGATTCTGCGGTCATCCACCCCAGCACGCCCAACCACCTGAACTACAACAAACCTGGCAACGCAGCGCCCAAGAACGAGAAGTACATCCCCATGGAGTTCAAGGTCAGAGAGGCTCAATGTGGGCTTTAACTCTTGATTTAATGCTAATCATCTGATAACAGGACTAATACTAATGCTACTTCTACTTCTACTTCTACTACTACTACTACTACTGCTACTGCTACTTCTACTTCTACTCCTGCTGCTACTGCTACTACTGCTACTGCTACTGCTACTACTGCTACTGCTATTGCTACTTCTACTACTACTACTGCTACTGCTATTACTACTGCTACTGCTACTGCTACTGCTACTGCTATTACTACTGCTACTGCTACTGTTACTGCTTCTACTACTACTACTACTGCTACTACTACTGCTACTGCTACTACTACTGCTACTGCTATTGCTACTTCTACAACTGCTATTACTGCTACTGCTACTACTGCTACTGCTACTACTACTACTACTGCTACTACTACTGCTACTGCTACTACTACTGCTACTGCTATTGCTACTTCTACAACTGCTTACTGCTACTACTACTACTGCTACTTCTACTACTACTACTGCTACTGCTATTACTACTGCTACTGCTACTACTATTACTACTGCTACTGCTTCTACTACTACTACTACTACTACTATCACCTCTACTATTACTACTATGGGGAGTATTTTTCTTTGAATCCTGGATCCTCTTTTGAGTTAAATTGGAATAATTTAGAAAGCAAAATGTCTTGTTTTGTGATTAATATTTAATATTGTGTTTTTTTTGTCTCAGACTCTGAACAAGAACAACCTCCACGTGAACGACGACACCTGTCACCACTTCTCCACGTCTCTGGGTCCTTCAAACGTCTTCAGCACCACCTACTTCCCCCCTGGGCTGAGCAAATACGACTACCACCACCAGGACGCAGCGTGCAGGACTTTTCACATGCATAGCTGAAGAAGCAAACACAAAATATACAACAAATACTGGTCTTTCTGCTCAGAAGAAGATTTTTTCATCGAGCTAATTCCTCTGTAATCCCTGGAACAATCCACAGGAAACAAAAACTGTCTCAAAGTTCCACAACATATCAACTATGGTCTCATTATTCTCTCTGGTTTCTCTGTGCTCTCTCTCTGCTGTCTCTTTCTGGAATCTCTCTGGTCTCTCTCTGGTCGCTCTGGTTCTTATCTCCAGCCTCGCACTCTGGCTCCTCTGTCTGGTCTCTCTCTGGTTCTTATCACCAGCCTCGCACTCTGGCTCCTCTGTCTGGTCTCTTTCTGGTTCTTATCTCCAGCCTCGCACTCCGGCTCCTCTGTCTGGTCTCTCTCTGGTTCTTATCTCCAGCCTCGCTCTCTGGCTCCTCTGTCCGGCCTGTCTCTGGTATCTCTCTGGTTCTTATCTCCAGCCTCGCACTCTGGCTCCTCTGTCTGGTCTCTCTCTGGTTCTTATCACCAGCCTCGCTCTCTGGCTCCTCTGTCCGGTCTCTCTCTGGTATCTCTCTGGTTCTTATCTCCAGCCTCGCTCTCTGGCTCCTCTGTCCGGTCTCTCTCTGGTATCTCTCTGGTTCTTATCTCCAGCCTCGCTCTCTGGCTCCTCTGTCCGGTCTCTCTCTGGTATCTCTCTGGTTCTTATCACCAGCCTCGCTCTCTGGCTCCTCTGTCCGGTCTCTCTCTGGTATCTCTCTGGTTCTTATCACCAGCCTCGCTCTCTGGCTCCTCTGTCCGGTCTCTCTCTGGTATCTTTCTGGTTCTTATCTCCAGCCTCGCTCTCTGGCTCCTCTGTCCGGTCTCTCTCTGGTATCTCTCTGGTTCTTATCTCCAGCCTCGCTCTCTGGCTCCTCTGTCCGGTCTCTCTCTGGTATCTCTCTGGTTCTTATCTCCAGCCTCGCTCTCTGGCTCCTCTGTCCGGCCTGTCTCTGGTATCTCTCTGGTTCTTATCTCCAGCCTCGCTCTCTGGCTCCTCTGTCCGGTCTCTCTCCGGTATCTCTCTGGTTCTTCTGGACATTGTGTTGCCAGGTTTGTTGAAGTTCTGGGAGTCCTTCACCTACATTTGTCTTGGAGACGTCTTCATCATCACAAAATGGCCTTTCCCTGCGTTCTTAAATACATCTGCTGGCCTTGTCTCCATTGCATCTTGTTGCTCTTGGTTCTACACAGTCACAGCTTCTATACAAATTTTTAATTTATCTTTGGTATCCTTGGAATGGCTTCTAAAACAGGCAAGTTGTTTTGTATAACACAGGTCACACACAAGTGCTTAACAGAACCAGAAATGTACACACCAGTTTCTCTCTAGGATATCAGATTTAAAATGTTGGACTGAACTTGGGCTGGGCGATATGGGCAAAAAAAAAAATCTCCGATTTTTTCACAGAAAACCCAATTTTCGATTTGAATCGATTTTTTTTTTTTCTGTTTAAAAACAAAAAACAACTTACAAAGAAATGGCTCAAAACAAATGTACTCTTTATTTTGTTCTGATTTTAACTTAACTTAGTGACAACGCACCTTCAAAATAATAATAATAGTCCTTTTTGGTCAAATAAACATAGCAAAAATGACCAAATTAGATTACAAAAATACATACAGCAGTTGTATTTATAAAGTGCAAACAAAACTTTAAACAGTTTTCCTGAATCCCTGAAATTGTAAACAAAGGAAAAATCTGCCTCCATTACTTTCAACATTCTTTTTTTATGCATTTTAGTCAGGAAGACAAGCCTGTCTACTACCTCTGGCTTGAAGCATGCCCAGTTACATGTAACTTATAGTGACATGCACCTTCTAAATAACTTAAAATATAAATCAAATTATATTGTGTGTCACTTTTTGATAAAACACATTTGGTCAAATAAATGTAACAAAAATGGAAACATTTGATATAATACAAAAATACATACTTTTAACAGTGGTATCCATAACATTCATAAAGTGCAAACAAAACTTTAAAGTTTTCCTGAATCCCCGAAATTGTAAACACAATGAAAAATATGCATCCGTTATTTTAGTTTAATTCCTCATTCATGCATTCTTAGCCAGGAAGACAAGTCTGTCTACTACCTCAGGCTTGAGGCATGCCCGGTTACATGTAACAATGCCCCCTCCCACACTGAAAAGCCTCTCTGATGGGGCACTTGTAGCAGGGACAGACAAGTATTTTTTGGCCAGATTACTGAGCCTTGGGAAGTTCTGGGTCTATCTCAGGGGTCAGTAGGTTGACAGTTCTGTCTGCACTTTCAGTGCCTCTGATTGGTGAGAATAAGGCTCTGGTTCTTGCACATTCTTCTTGAAGAAAGCAGCTAAAGTCATTTTCTTATTGGGTGGAGACTTTGCTTCTCCTTGACACACTGGCATAGCTGGACCAGGCTGCTGTAGTGTACTTTTTTCAACAGACAGAGACATCACTTCAGTGACTGCTCTTTTCTTGACCTGTTCCACCTTGTCTGGGTCAATGTAGGTTGTACGGAACCTGGGATCCATCAGTGAGGACATATCCAAAAGTTCATTCTTCACAGGGTCACTGTATTTGTCATCAAGGTACCGCATTATGTTTCTTTTTATTGTGTTAGTGAGTTCGGTGTCTTCCTCCACTGGCTGTAAGAGATTGGTTTTGAACAAATGCAGCACCGGTTTAATGTAGGAGACACTGACATAAGCCTCTCCGGACAGGGCGTCTGTAAATTCTTGGAGTGGTTTGACAGCTTTATTCACAGACTCTAAAACCTCAATATCTTGCCAAGTGGGCACAAGATGACGGCTTTTCTTGTCGGACCCCAGGACACGAAACAATGGCCTTCTCCTGTTCGAGAAATCTCTCTATCATTTTTTGACATGAACCCCATCTTGTTGGGGACTCTGTTACCAGCTGATGATTGGGTAGACCAAGCTCAGCCTGTACTTCACCCATCTCTCGTCTTTTCATCCAACTATAGGAAAAGGCAGCAACCGCCTTTTTACAAACTCCAATGGCACGCTCGATTCGTGGGTCCTTCACACCATTCTCTAAATAATAAAAAAAGAAAGAAAACAAAGACCATTTTTTAGTGTAACTATTGGTCAGTGACAAAACAAGTTTTCCACGTTCTTAATGCACACTAAAGGCGTACCCACACACGCATACACACCATTAATGATTAATTATGCATGTACATTTTTAGGGTTTTCTTAATATTGCATTAAACCTTGCATAGACACAAACTATCTTAACACTGTTTTCCAGTATAAGCATGGGTCAGGAAGGTAAATTAGCCACTTCACTGGACATTAATGAGTCATCAAATATACTGATATTTACTAAAAGGTAGATAAATATAATATAAAATATTTGTATACATCAAGACTGGAAAAACAGGAAAAGAAAATTATGCAGGAATAGCTAATTGTATAATATGCAGCTATGAGAAATGTCGTTTAATCCATATTTTCATAAAATAGAAATAAATAAAATAATCTGATAATATTGAAATTATACAAAATCATAACTGTACATGTCTTTTGAGTAAAATGTTGAATAATTCATGCATCAGGTTAATTTAAAAATGCATTAATTGAGCTGTTCAACATGTGTGTGTAAAAAAAAAAAAAAACACTTAAAAATTAGACTCTTACCTATAGCATTGTGCAGCTTATGTCCAAAGCATTGGAGGTTGGGCCACTCGTTGACTCTCAGAGCTTTTATCATGTTGGTCAGAATCAGAATCATTTGTATTGCAACGTAAGTAACAGGAAGTCACAGACTTGGAAATTGCTTTGGCTCAGTGCAACAGTCAGAAAGAGAGGTAAAGAATAAAGAAGGCAAAATAAAAATAAAAAAACAAGAAATAAAAAAATCAACAACACTTTTAAGGAATAAAATGTAAAATAGAATAATTACAATTACTATATAAAATATACAAGTGCACATGGTGCACACAATATACAGCAGTAAAGTTAAGTGAAGTGAAGTGAAATTGACTGTATTATTTCAAACACAATCAATATCTACAAATGAATTTTGTGATGATAGATAACATATGTGGAAGCGCTAAAAGTGAATATGAATCTGTAAAAATGGTGTGAGAGGACCACAGCAGGGACATTGCAGATATGCTGTATGTATATAAATATATATATAAAGCTTGTGTTTTTATTTTGTGTTTTAATTTTCTCAGTGGTTGTTTGTTTGTATCACAAGAGGTGGCCAGTGCTATGTCTTTAGGATTTAAATAATAACATACTGGGCTGTTACCATAGTAACGCGCAGCTCACACTTTGGGTTTAACTGAAAGCTGTAGAGGCACACAATCGTTGTATTTTGCTGCTTTCTTTTGCGAAAAGCAATTTCCCGCGTTTTCCCTTTTCCCCTTCAACCAACCGCAAATTAGCACTCACTTCCATTTCGGCTCTTCGCTTCACCCCCACCCGGGCTGGTTCTTTTTGGATCTCGGCTGCAATGGCGGAACAGCAGCAGTTCTACATTTTGCTGGGCAATCTGATGAGCCCGGACAACAACATCAGAAAGCAGTCAGAGGTAAGGATTACGCAGGGCAGGGCCGGAGTGGGACAACATTTCAGGCCGGGAGCTTTTCATCCATTCAGGCCAAACAAGGTTCTAAATTTGGGTTTTTGTCATTGTATTTTGATGTTCTTTTAATAGTTTTAAGATTGACTGTCAAAACGTTTGTTTTCTTTATTTTTTTTTATATTGACTGTTTATATAATCTCGGACGTTTAAGGATTGTTGTACGTTGCTTAGCAACGTAACGTTTATGGAGTTTAGTGAGAATAAAGACACACACACACGCACACACAATGAACTAAGTGTTCATTAGTGTATAACTATAACAAGCTAATCAATTATTGTTAAAAAGTAGTAAGGTAAAATCACATCGTTACAGCTCATATAAAAGGAAAAATAAAAACGTGTATGAACCATCAGTTGGAGAGACCACTCATTTCAACCGGGGAAGCTACACTGGGTGCACTGCTAGGCCGGGGAAGCTACACTGGGTGCACTGCTAGGCCGGGGAAGCTACACTGGGTGCACTGCTAGGCTGGGGAAGCTACACTGGGTGCACTGCTAGGCCGGGGAAGCTACACTGGGTGCACTGCTAGGCCGGGGAAGCTACACTGGGTGCACTGCTAGGCCGGGGAAGCTACACTGGGTGCACTGCTAGGCTGGCCTGGCTGTGTAGCCGACGTGTGACGTCACATTTGTTTAATTTTGCTCTGGCCCAATGACAGTAAAGCTTTGGCCAGTGTTGTGCCAGTTCACAGCTTTTCTGAACTAGTTCAAGTTCAGTTCATACATGCTCAAAGTGAACAGTTCACGTTCGAAGTTCTCAATTTTAATTCTGAACTAGTTCAAAGTTCAGTTCATTTTACTTTTTGCGAGATATTCAAATAAATATTTTTTTTCACTACGAGCTAGAAATCACAATACGTGGTTATATATATATATATATATATATATATATATATATATATATATATATATATATATATATAATAATGAATAATGAATAGCACTAGCATATAGCGCCGCACCGCAAGTACACTGAGTCGGGGTGCGTTCACAGACGGTGGAAACCGTAGGAATTTTTAGTTTTCGGCGGAGAATACAGGAGGGAGGAACTTTCTCTCGTTGCGTTTCAAAAGAGAAAACAGATTTCACTCAGTTTTAAATGGAAAACAAATTGTCTGCCGTTCATGACACATAATATGAACTAATTCACGTTCAAGATCTTTATTAAAAAATGTGTTGCGTTCAGTTCAACGTTCACGAAAAAATGAGCGTGTTCAATGAACGCGTTCTTTTGAACTCGTTCACGCACAACACTGGCTTTGGCCTGGGCCTTGCTCATTGGACCAGGCCACCAGGCAGGGTAGGAGTTTGCAAAGAGGATGAAATTAAATTAAAAGAAAAAAAAAAGACCGTGATGATAGGGCAGGCCCAGGCCACTTTGACACGCAGACCGATGCTCCCGATGGCCAGTCCGGGCCTGACGCAGGGGATTCATCAGCAGCGTGAGTGACAGTGTTTTCTTACTGTGATGGTATGACCTGGTGAAAGCTAATCTGAGCTTTTAGCCGCAGTTCTTCCGCGGCTGTGTCAAAGCCAATGTCCTGCTCAACGGTAGATGGAAGTAAAAATGTGTACTTTTTAAAGTGTTCAATTTGCAAATCATCTGTTTGAATAAACAAGTTTGTACCTTATGCCAAAGATGCTGGTCCGGAGCCAGAACATATAGTGTGTATGCATTTACACAATTAACTTTGGAACAAATGCTAAAACTGTGACTGGAAAGGCTTTACATGTGTATGGCATGGTTCTAGTTTCGTTCTCTGGCTCAGGGTTCTGACAGAATCTTCTATTAAATTTTCAATTTAAATTTGAAAAAAACATTGAACAAAAAATACACGGACCTAGCATGACTGTCTGTGATTATATTCATTTAATTTCCCTGCCCTATCAATACTTTTATGTTCTGTTACTTGCCAATGTACTTTCTCTACTTTGAGCTGATAAAGTAGGAAATGTTCGCAGCCATGTAATATTGCTGTAAGAGCCTCTGTGTGTGTCTAGTATAAAGTCGTGGCGCTGGAGAAAAGTGCTTATTTTGCATCAAACATAAAACTAAGATTGTTGCTTCAGTTTGTGCTGTTTTAAAATGTGGAACCAAAGCTGTTGTGGTTGAAGATTGGAACCCGGCATTTCAGTAATGTTTGAAATGTAAAGCATGAATTCCTCTGCTCCGGACTAGTCTCTGAATCTAAATCTTCGCTTTTTGTTTCCTAGGAGACGTATGATTCGATTCCAGGAGGAAACAAGATCACATTCTTGCTACAGGCCATTCGAGATGTGTCCGTCGCAGAAGAGGTAACCACTTTAACATGATTCTATTGTTTAAAGAAATCTCTGGATCGCCAACTTTATCTCTGGTATACAAACTTTTCATTTGGCTCAAAGTTGGCAATCTGCCTCAAAAGCAGATAAAGTGGGCAAACTAGATATTCTTTGAAGCAAAGGACAAAGTATACAAATAAAACTGACTATTTTCGAGCCGTATTGCAAACTTGATCTGTGCTCTATTAAAAATAGATATATTTTTAAGTCTGAGAAATATTTGCAGATTGTAAACTTAAGATAAGACTTTATTGATCTCTCAATGGAGAAATTTAAATTTGCTGAATTCAGCTGATTCCTTCTTCAAAAAATATTGTCTGTGCCCTTAAAGGATTCATTTATATTTTGTTCTGAGGCAAACATGCTCTGTTGTTTTTTTTTAATCTAGTTAATTACAGCTTAAAAATTAATTAATCGTAATTAATCGCATTTCAAACTATTGGCAAAATTATGCCATATGTTTCTGTAAATTGTTGTTTGAATGGAAAGATAAATGACAGCTTAGTGACCATATGAACTGTATTTGTTTGTTATAACAATAAATTCATATAAAAGGGAATTAACATTATTAACATTCTGTCTTTCTGTTTAGACTCAGACCAAAACCATTGTTTGTTACAGATGAGGGACATTTCAAAATAGTCTGAAGCAGAATGTCATTAAATCTAATTGATTTGCTAACACCATTACTTTTTTTGGCACAACTAACGTGAACTGGTAGTCGAAAGGAAAATTGGGTACCTCAGCTTTAATTTAGCGAGTGCGCTTCGGGAGAAGACACGGAGGAGACTGAGGCTCCGCAGTCCAGCTTCAGCGCTGTACATATTGTGTGCATCAGTTACGCAAATACACGTACGCACACTAGAGAATAGTTCTGTAATAGTTCTGTGCGTGGTCTTGGATATGATCCCATTACGCAGCGCCGTTCGTCAAATGCGTTACTTTTTTTAACGCGATTAATGAAAAATATTAATTAACGTGCGTTAACGCGATAATTTGGACAGCCCTATCTGTTAAATAATTCATTTTAAAAATGATTCCCCTTTGACCCAGAGAGAAAAATATGTGCTGATTGCTAACTTGATCTGTTTTAATTAGAAATTGTTTCATTTTAAAATTCACAGGTGTCATAGACCCTCCTGCAGCCAAGGTTTATTTCAATTGTTTTTGAGTCACATTAGTTTCTGTCTAACGTCCTGTAAATGTAATCAATCAAAGAAGTTTGAACATATTTAGATTATGACAAAGTTTATAAATTTTAGTCATAATCTCCAGATATGTTTCTAGAGTCTTCACTCGTCACATTCTCCACAGAACGCTGTCCGCTCCTCTGCAGCTGTTTACGATTCTGGACCCGATATTTTTAGATTTCTTGAAATGGGAGCAGGGACCCAGAGCTTGGATCATAGATTATTTATAGGGAGCCAGGTGAAGATGCTGCCTTCAATTTGGAGCAATAAAAAAAAAACTTTAGCGCAGATGTAGTTGTTTCATCCCCACTCTGGGCAGCTGTGACTACAGAAAGTTTTATCGCTGTAAGATTCAGTTCTAAAAGGTATATATTTTAGCCCTAAATATCAGCAGTAGGTCTCAAGTTTATCAGAATCAAACAGTTCAAACTCAAGAAATGCTGTCTTTCTAAACAAAGTTAAGTTCGAAAAAGTCTCTGCTCATCCCCGGTACTGAGACTGTAGCTCCGGGACTGGATCCTCAGGACTGGAATACAGAGCCCCGTGTATATGTTCATTGGGATCCTTCACTTAATACAGCTCAGACGCCCTGTGCAGAAAAGCGCCCCAAACCTCATGTTTCCACCCCTATGCTATTCTTTGGATGCTGCTCTGTATTCTTCCCACTTCAAAGTTTTCACCCAAAAGTTCCATTTCAGTCTCATCTGCCCCAGTTCTGTTCTGGATCATCACCATGGTCATAAAACAACTTAAGGCCTGGACACGCACTGGCTTCAGCAGCGAGATTGATCTTTTAGTGGCCCCTTGCACTTTGAACATTCCATGCGTCATACCAGGAATTGAAAAGAGAAATTACATGTAAAATAAAATGTAATAATTGCTGCAGGGTGATGGTCTGTGACATATGGTAGTTAAGACTCAAAAGCACTAGTTTGGAAACTCTGGTCATGTAGGATTTAATGCAATGCTTGACCTCCCGCGTGTTCGCAGGCTCGGCAGATGGCTGCGGTGCTGTTGCGGAGGCTGCTGTCGTCGGCCTTTGAGGAGGTTTTCCCGGGGCTCACGCTGGAGATGCAGATGGCCGTGAAGACAGAGCTGCTCACGGCAATCTCTCACAAAACCTCCCCAAACATCCGCAAGAAAGTGTGTGACATCGCCGCCGAGCTCTCCAGAAACCTCATCGGTGAATAATGCTTTAACTGTAGTTCTGCTTTGACTGATGAAAGGTGAAATGTTGACGCTTGAATCTGTTGTGGAGACTGCCATAGCAAGAATTTTTCTCATAAAACGACTCCACATTGAACAATTCAGAATCATTTTACTGACCAAAAGACTTAAAAGTCTCTGGAGGCTGCTGCTCTACAGTTTGGTAGCGCATGTTCCTGGTGCTAGCAGTGATTTTGTTTTTCTTGCAGACGACGATGGGAACAACCAATGGCCCGAGGTTCTAAAGTTTCTCTTCGATTCGGTCAATTCTGACAAAGCAAGTTTGAAAGAAGCCGCGCTGCACATATTCTGGTAAAAATCCTAGTCAAAAATCACCCACTGTTGTTGGAATATACCTCCCAATTTTGTTTTTCTTTAGGAATTTCCCTGGCATATTTGGTAACCAGCAGCAGCACTATCTAGATGTTATCAAGAGAATGCTGGTTCAGTGTATGCAGGACCAAGCCAACCCACAGGTAACCATGCATGGATCATGTTGATGCTAACTACTAATTAATGAGCACTGAGTAATGCATAATTAAAACAAAATGATGACTGCATTAAAAAGTGTACAAAATGTGTTATAAATACAAAAAATATGACCTGGTTTTAAATGTGTTTTGTAGATTCAGATGCTGGCGTCTCGAGCTGCTGCGTCCTTTGTTTTGGCGAACGAAGGAAACTCTGCGCTCCTCAAACAGTTCTCAGATCTGCTGCCTGGAGTTCTACAAGTGAGAACTTTACACATGGCTCAGAAGTGATTTGGTCTTGTCTTTTCTCTTCTGTTTTTCTATTTCTCTGGTGTTTCTCTCTGATAGTGAAGTTGCCCATTCTTGGCTGTCTTGCACTTTAAATGTTTTCGTTTTGGCCATATTTTGGACTATTCGAAAACCTGTATTAACGCTAAACCTGGCTCTGGCTCCGTAACATGTTCCCGTCTAAACAGGCCGATGTTTTTGTCTCGTCTATAGTAATGTTTAAAAGTTGTTGTCTAAGTGTGCTCATCTTTCCTTGTAGTCCGTGAATGACTCGTGTTACCAAGGCGACGACTCTGTGCTGAAGTCGCTGGTAGAAATCGCAGACACGGCTCCGAAATACCTGCAACCGAACCTGGAGGCGACGCTGCAGCTCTGTCTCAAGGTCAGTACCATGGGCAATAACGGTTCACATGGTACAGTCAAAAGGCAGGACCATAAGATACAACCTGCAGCTAGTGTATGTATTTTTGTTGAATTCATGGACTTATTTTGACTGTTTTAGTATCTTCAGGATACTTGTTGTTGAAATGGATGATGAATGAGTCGTGGAAGCTGTTAAACTATTCATTAAATCATGCGACCATTTTAAAAACTGTCGTCGCTGCTACAGTACGACTCAGTGTTTTATACATGTGCATGGAACACTTGTTAGTATTAGATAGCAATATGGCCTACGTGCAGGACTCTACAAGGACTCTTGACTGTGCATCCATGGTTTGACTATGACGTGACTGTCTCTGTGTGACACGTCTTTCCATGTGTGACGTGACAATGACTATATAAACTGTGTACTGACTTTATTCTGTCTGAGAGAAAGAAACAAAGGAAACTCCCTCAAAACAATCCAGAGAATGGCGCACACTGAGCCGTGCATCCTCCACCAAATCTGTCAGGAATGAAGCAGACGGATCGTGGCGCGCCAAACTCTGGAAGTTTATTTAAGTTTCTCTCAAGTTCCAGTGGTTTCCTTTTGTTTCTTTCTCTCAGACAGAATGGAGGCAGTACACAGTTTATATAGTCATTGTCACGTCACACATGGAAAGACGTGTCACACAGAGACAGTCACATCAGAGCTAAAACATGGATGCACAGTAAAGAGTCCTTGTTGTTGTCCTGCACGTAGGCCATATTTCTATCTAATACTAACACACTAATGGGGAAAATGGAATGGTTTGAATCTGGGAGTCCTAGTGTCGGTGCCTGATGACGACCTCCTCCTGATGATCCATGTTTTTGTTTAGCTCTGCGCAGACACAAACCTGTCCAACATGCAGCGGCAGCTCTCCCTCGAGGTCATCGTCGCGTTATCGGCCATGTTGAGGAAGCACCAGGCCCTCGTGGCTCAGAGCGGTGAGAAACCTTCCCTTCTACTGTTGTTCTACACACATCTCTAAGGCTCCAGAAGCTGCTTTAGCTTGGAGGTAGGCCCCAAAACACTACATTTTAAACGTATTCCTTTTTTGTTTTTCTCAGTTCCCCAGATGTTGACCATGATGGTGGATTTGGAAGAGGACGAGGACTGGGCCCAGGCGGACGAGCTGGAGGACGATGACTTTGACAGGTACACGCCGTCTCGAGGTCCTGGGTCTCGGCCACGACTTCCAAATGTTTAGTGTCTTCAGTCACGCTGCGGCCCGTGAGAGCAGCCTGAACTGAAGCTGGTTTCTCTGGGATGATCCTCCTGCTGCTTCTGACACATGACGTAAATGTGTGGTTGCAGTAACGCGGTGGCTGGAGAGAGTGCTCTGGACAGAATTGCCTGTGGCCTCGGAGGGAAGATCATCTTACCCATCATCAAACAGCACATTATGCAGATGCTCCAGAATCGTACGTCTCACACATTTACAGATTATAATAAACCATTGAAAAATAACTCTTTAAATTGGCTTTAATCTGACAGAAGCCGATGTTGGTGCTCAGAGAATAGACTATATAATCTCCCATTACAGTAGTGTGTAATGCAGCCCTGGTCTGCCCCATACTTGTGTAAAACTTGTCCAATCCTTTTCCTGGTTTGCAGAGGACTGGAAGTACCGGCACGCAGGGCTCATGGCTCTGTCTGCGATCGGAGAAGGATGTCACCAAGAGATGGAGACTATTCTGAACGAGATTGTCTGCGTGGTGCTCCGCTTTTGCGCCGACCCGGTGAGGAAACGTTTGGACTAAAAACAGTCAGTCTGGTCACTGATATTCTGTGTGAGCTAACGGCTAGCAGAGCCTGTTATAGCAACTGTGGCGGTGAAACGCAAAATGATATTGAACTCTAGTGATAATGAGAGATTGGCTTTGGCTAATGATTCAAAGTTTGCTTTTTATATAGTGCTCACATAGACAATATTTTAAACATGAACTATTGATTAAAGCTCTGGTACCTTAGTTTGTTAAACGCAAACCTGTCTTTATTCCAATTAGAAATCATTACATATTTTGTTAGAGCCGCCTCAGTCACTATTTGACCAGCTTCAGGAAATATGAATGGATCTGGTCAAATAGTGGCTCACAGGGCTCCAAGCAGGGCACCGCCTGGTAAGTGCTGTGATGGGAGACCTCTGGGGATACCAGGTGCCACAGAAGGGTGGTCGTAAAGTGCCATTGTCCCAACTGTCATTGTGTCCCACCCACATAATCTGGAATAATAGGTTTCAGGGGCTGATGGCACATACTGGTTGCCTCACTTCAGTGTGGGCAGCTGTGGCCATGTTTGTAGTTTATAACCACTGTTTATGGAAGTCATGAAGAATGCTGTGATTAGTCCAGAAAGCACTATATAAAACATGATGCAAGAAAGTCTGGGACCAAAGACTCATTTGGATTGTAATCGACACCTGTACAAAGTTTTGAGGATGAAATTTCCTGAAGTGAAGCTTTTTTCATAGGCAAGTTTATTTGTATAACACAATTCATACACAAGGCAACTAAAAAGTGCTGAATAAATTAAGATAGTATTTATGATTTAAATAATCACAGAAAAAATACATAAAATTCCTCCATTGTATGCACAGCTAAACAGAAGTGTTTTAACCCGGATTTAAACAGTCAGAGCAGAGTCTTCAGGAAGAATCTGAATCTGGAAGTCTGGGAAAACATTCAATCGGCTAAAGTTGGGGTGAAAGTGTTGCTTATTAGTTTCAGTACGTTGCACTCTCCATGATGCTGCTCGTGTGTCACTGTGGTAAACGTTTGTGTCGCTCTGCTCCCAGCATCCTCGTGTGCGGTATGCAGCCTGTAAAGCGATAGGACAGATGGCCACAGACTTCGCTCCCACTTTTCAGAAGAAGTTCCACGACAAGGTGAATAGTTTTTCCATCGATCTTCAGATTTTTTTTGCCTGTAGTTCCTTCCCAAACTTGTCCTCTGCTGCAGGTGATCGTGGCTCTGCTGGAGACCATGAAGGACCAGGGGAACCCCAGAGTCCAGGCCCTTGCTGCAGCCGCGCTCATTAGCATCACAAGATACTGCCCAAAGTCTCTGCTTTTCCCGTACCTGGACAGTCTGGTCCAGCATCTGTGCGCCATCATGCAGGCCAAGCTACAGGAGGTAAGTCCTACAGCCAAAGTCTATGGGACCAGTTTGAGGTCTGGAGTCTTATGGATTATTTTTACGTTTGTGGCGATTCCATAGACTCACTCGGTCTGTAAATACTAATACATAGATGGATAGTGTCCAGTAGCAGCAGAAACTCATTCATTTACATTAGCATACCAAATATTGGCTTACCTCCAGTGAATTTCTGCTTGGTTTGGTCCGTGAATCCTCTCTGCTCTGCACCAGTGCAAAACCTTGAACACTTTACTGCAGTAACATTTACAGGTGAGGCACAAACTGTTTCAGAGCTACTGTTGACTTTGCCGTTTCTAGCACATTCAAAAGTAAAATCATGGCCGAGCAGCTGTAGGATTTGGATAAATGGAAATGTATTGCTTGGCGCCTCCAACAGGTGGGAGCACTTTGTTTCCCTGTGGTAGGGTCCAGTAGAGCAGCTTGTGGGCTCTGCATGAGTTGGTATTGAATGTGACAGAAGCATATTTACTGTTTTTGATAGAAAATACTGTGTACATGGGTGGACAGTGTAGTTTGACAGCTGTCTCTCTCTGCGTCCTCTCAGCTGATTCAAAAGGGCACGAAGCTGGTCCTGGAGCATGTAGTGACGTCCATCGCCTCCGTGGCCAACACGGCGGAGGAGAAGTTTGTGCCGTACTACGACCTCTTCATGCCGTCGCTCAAGAACATTGTGGAGAACGCGGTTCAGAAGGAGCTGAGGCTGCTGCGCGGGAAGACCATCGAGTGCATCAGCCTCATCGGGCTCGCTGTGGGCAAAGAGAAGGTGACTACATCCTGTTCTGTCTGATTCACTTTATTTGCCATTTGCCAAGTGCATAAAGGCTAAAAGTGCAGGAACAATTGTCACGTGAAACCAAACAGATTGTGGAAAGATCCAGATTCGTGTTCCAGCTTCTTCCTCTGGTAGAAGAGTCTTGGATCAGAGGCTCGTTTTATACCTGGCTCTCTAACGGCATCTCAGGCCTAGACTCAAAAATAACTGAAAATGCACATTTCTAAACCAGGTTCAAGAGCGGAACAATCAGCTGAAGAGAGATACTAAATATTTCAGATGTCGGGCTGAACACTTGCACTTTTCTAAATGCTTTGCCTTCGGGCACAAAAACACTGATTGCGTTGACATAACTGATGGTCTTAGTTATTACCAAAGAGATAGTGTAAATTAAATAAAACTTGTTAAAGCTGGATAACTAATTAGTATTAATTCATAACCAAATGTGGTCAAAAATCAAAGTATTGGTGATGGAACAGGACTGCAATAGTTATGGTGTAGGTCCTGTTTTATGGTTTGACAGTTGCATACTCTCCTCAACGAACTGTTTGAACTTGTTCCTATTTGTTTCAGTTCATGTCTGACGCCGCAGCAGTGATGCAGCTGCTGCTGAAAACACAGACAGACTTCAACGACCTCGAGGACGACGATCCACAGGTCAGACCTCACTCAGCTTTTTAAACATGTGTCAAATGCACTGGATCAGTGTTAAACCCCGTTCTGTCTCTCTCGCTCTCTCTGTGCGTGTCTCTCTCGCTCTCTCTCTGTGCGTGTCTCTCTCGCTCTCTCTGTGCATGTCTCTCTCGCTCTCTCTCTCTGTGCGTGTCTCTCTCGCTCTGTGCGTGTCTCTCTCGCTCTCTCTCTGTGCGTGTCTCTCGCTCTGTGCGTGTCTCTCTCGCTCTCTCTCTGTGCGTGTCTCTCTCGCTCTCTCTGTGCGTGTCTCCCTCGCTCTCTCTCTGTGCGTGTCTCTCTCGCTCTCTCTGTGCGTGTCTCTCTCGCTCTCTCTGTGCGTGTCTCCCTCGCTCTCTCTCTGTGCGTGTCTCTCTCGCTCTCTCTCTGTGCGTGTCTCTCTCGCTCTCTCTGTGCGAGTCTCTCTCGCTCTCTCTCTGTGCGTGTCTCTCTCGCTCTCTCTGTGCGAGTCTCTCTCGCTCTCTCTCTGTGCGTGTCTCTCTTGCTCTCTACTGGTCTTCCCCACAGACGTCCTACATGATCTCGGCCTGGGCTCGCATGTGTAAGATCCTGGGGAAGGAGTTCCAGCAGTACCTTCCTGTGGTGATGGGGCCCCTCATGAGAACCGCCTCCATCAAACCAGAGGTGGCGCTACTCGACAGTAAGTCCGGTTTATTTGTAGAGCACACTCCATACACAACTCTCCAGTATCATAAATGATCACAGAACAGAAGAGCGACACAATCCTTTCACTTGCACAGCTAAACAGAATCCAGGTGAAGGGAAGCCTGTAACATTTTCAGGAAGACTTTCAGATTTTGGCTGGAGAAATCACTGAGTATTCAATGGGAACACTGTTTGGATTGTTGGGTACCTAATCTTTTAAAACTTTGAAACCACTTCCAGATAACCATGGTCCTCACTTTCATGTCTGAAAGAGCTGATCTAATGATCAATCAGCTCTTTCATGTTTTGTCTGATTTATTCACACTACTTTAAAAAAGCTTTTTTATGGTTATGTATTGTAGTGTAATAAAGTCAGAGCTGAGTTCCCTCTTTATGAAGATATTTGTGTATAGTTTGAACAAGTTTATTTTGTTGTTCTTAGCTCAGGACATGGAGAGCATCTCTGAGGACGACGGTTGGGAGTTTGTGAACCTCGGAGATCAGCAGAGCTTCGGAATAAAGACGGCAGGGCTGGAGGAGAAGGCCACGGCCTGCCAGATGCTGGTGCGGACATATCACTTTAATATATTTGACAGGGACATAGTCAACGTAGAACAAAACAAGCTTGTAACTGATGCAATGAATATTGGCAGTAGCACAAACTCATCTGAATATGACTGGTTTATGTTCCAGGTGTGCTACGCCAAAGAACTGAAGGAGGGCTTTATGGAGTACGCAGAGGAAGTGGCCAAACTCATGGTTCCTCTGCTCAAGTTCTACTTCCACGATGATATCCTTTTTACACTCATTTCACACTTGTTTACTTCTGTTTTTGAACATCTAACATGGTGCGACCTGCTTTAAAACTGTAATCTGACTGAAACTCTCAAAGCTCACGAAACAAACCAGATCAGTATTTGTCGTTGTGCAGTTTGTCCAAATGTTCTCAGTAAGAGCCACTTTAGCAGAATAAAGCATAAAATGTCCATTGACGTGTCTGTAGCAGCTCCTCTTATGGTCCTTGACGTGGTCCACGTGTGCGAGTGGCGGCTGCAGAGTCCATGCCGCTCCTGCTGGAGTGTGCTCAGGTGCAGGGCCCTCAGTATCTCTCTGACATGTGGAAGTTCATGAGCGAGCCGCTGATCAAAGCCATCGGCACGGAGCCCGACTCGGACGTGTTGTCGGAGGTCATGCACGCCTTCGCCAAGTGCATGGAGCTGATGGGTGACGGCTGTCTGGAGAAGGCCCAGTTTGAGGAGCTGGGGGGGATCCTGAAGGCCAAGCTGGAGGAGCACTTCAAGAACCAGAGACTCAGACAAGGTACGAGGGATTTCATTCACACAATGTCCAGTTTGTGAAAGTGCTCTGTAAACTGACGTCAAGATTTAATAACACGCACATGAGGTCCATAGAAAACGCAGCAAAATAACTGGACTCCATAAACTACTTCTACACCAACCGCTGTCTGAAGATATCGGGGATTTTATTGTTGTTTTCCTCGAACTGAAAATATTTCGTATCAAGGCTGTGCCACAAATCAAAAGATTCAACTTTTCCTGTTGCTGGTTTAAAGATAAATCTGGTGCCAATGTTTAACTAAAATAATAAATGGATTATACTTAGTCCCTGCTGCTAGAATTTTTAAAAGCAGCATTGGACACTTATTTGACCAAATTTCTCCTTGTAGTTTTTTTTTCTAAATCTCTTTGCAATTTGGATGCAGCAGATTGTAAAATGAATAATATAAACATCTGCATATTCTAATTTTAAAACTTCCGTCATATCCAGTTTGTGTAAGATCTGTCGTCCAGGGGTTAGTCAAAGGAAGGTTTCTCACCCATCTGTACTTACCAGGTTTTCTCGACGTTACTTCATGAAGTAGTGGTTAAATACACTAGTGTAGTATTTAACCGTGGACGGCAGGAGGTATTTAGATGTCATATTCTCTGCTGCTTAAGTACAATAAAAGAAACAAGAGTAATGGTAACTAGAAACTTGCAATGGCTGAAGCCATTGCGATTGACTGCGGAACAGATCTAATGTGGAAATCCGCTTAAAAAAAATCCTTGAAATCCTTTAAAAGGCCTTGAAACTGTTAAAATACTTGATAGATATTTGAAACTCCTGAAGTCCTTAATTGTTGAAACCTTTAAACTCCTGAAATCCTTGAAACTGTTGAAACATTGAAACTCCTGAAATCCTTGAAACTTTTTTAAACCTGGAAACTGTTGAAAGTGTGGAAACTCCTGAAATCCTTGAACCTCCTGATATCCTTGAAACTGGTTAAATTCTTAAACAGTTGAAATCCTTGAAACTACTGAATGTATTGAAAGTGTCCTTGAAACTGAAAAATCCCCTCACCGCTGAAACAATTTGGTTCCTGTAACTAAGGAAACCTGGTCTGTGGTCATTATCTGGTGGTGGTCTGAGTCTTTGTTTGGGTCTTGGTCTGGTGGTATAATGCAACCTATTAGGTTGCATTATACTGGTTTACATGGAAAAATCCCTATTAAGTTGCATTATACCTGGTTTACATGGAAAAATCCCTATTAAGTTGCATTATACTGGTTTACATGGAAAAATCTCTATTAAGTTGCATTATACTGGTTTACATGGAAAAAACCCTATTAAGTTGCATTATACTGGTTTACATGTAAAAACCCCTATTAAGTTGCATTATACTGGTTTACATGGAAAAATCCCCATTAAGTTGCATTATACTGGTTTACATGGAAAAATCCCTATTAAGTTGCATTATACTGGTTTACATGTAAAAACCCCTATTAAGTTGCATTATACTGGTTTACATGGAAAAATCCCCATTAAGTTGCATTATACTGGTTTACATGAAAAAAACCCTATTAAGTTGCATTATACTGGTTTACATGAAAAAAACCCTATTAAGTTGCATTATACTGGTTTACATGAAAAAACCCTATTAAGTTGCATTATACTGGTTTACATGAAAAAAACCCTATTAAGTTGCATTATACTGGTTTACATGAAAAAAAACCCATTAAGTTGCATAATACTGGTTTACATGGAAAAAACCCTATTAAGTTGCATTATACTGGTTTACATGGAAAAAACCCTATTAAGTTGCATTATACTGGTTTACATGGAAAAAACCCTATTAAGTTGCATTATACTGGTTTACATGAAAAAAACCCTATTAAGTTGCATTATACTGGTTTACATGGAAAAAACCCTATTAAGTTGCATTATACTGGTTTACATGGAAAACCCCCTATTAAGTTGCATTATACTGGTTTACATGAAAAAAACCCTATTAAGTTGCATTATACTGGTTTACATGGAAAAATCCCTATTAAGTTGCATTATACTGGTTTACATGGAAAAATCCCTATTAGGTTGCATGATTACACTGAAGTCCTTGAAACTGTTGAAACCTTGAAACTGTTGAAACCTTGAAACTGTTGAAGTCCTTGAAACTGTTGAAGTCCTTGAAACTGTTGAAACCTTGAAACTGTTGAAACCTTGAAACTGTTGAAACCTTGAAACTGTTGAAACCTTGAAACTGTTGAAACCTTGAAACTGTTGAAACCTTGAAACTGTTGAAACCTTGAAACTGTGGAAACCTTGAAACTGCTGAAGTCCTTGAAACTGTTGATGTCCTTGAAACTGTTGAATCCTTGAAACTGTTGAATCCTTGAAACTGTTGAAACCTTGAAACTGTTGAATCCTTGAAACTGTTGAATCCTTGAAACTGTTGAATCCTTGAAACTGTTGAAACCTTGAAACTGTTGAAGTCCTTGAAACTGTTGAAACCTTGAAACTGTTGAAACCTTGAAACTGTTGAAGTCCTTGAAACTGTTGAAACCTTGAAACTGTTGAAACCTTGAAACTGTTGAATCCTTGAAACTGTTGAAACCTTGAAACTGTTGAAACCTTGAAACTGTGGAAACCTTGAAACTGCTGAAGTCCTTGAAACTGTTGAAGTCCTTGAAACTGTTGAAGTCCTTGAAACTGTTGAAACCTTGAAACTGTTGAATCCTTGAAACTGTTGAAACCTTGAAACTGTTGAAACCTTGAAACTGTGGAAACCTTGAAACTGCTGAAGTCCTTGAAACTGTTGAAGTCCTTGAAACTGTTGAAGTCCTTGAAACTGTTGATGTCCTTGAAACTGTTGATGTCCTTGAAACTGTTGAATCCTTGAAACTGTTGAATCATTGAAACTGTGGAAACCTTGAAACTGTTGAATCCTTGAAACTGTTGAATCCTTGAAACTGTTGATGTCCTTGAAACTGTTGAATCCTTGAAACTGTTGAATCCTTGAAACTGTTGAATCCTTGAAACTGTAGAAATGTCTGAAAGAGCTGAAGTCCTATTAAAATGCATGGGCCTATTAAAATGCATTGCAGAATTCTCAATGCAAATTAATGGCAGAATTCCCAAGCCCGACGAAAAAAACTGGAAAACTGCAGAACTCTAATTTTTTCTGAAAACTCACAAGTTGTGGAAGCTGAACATGCACAAACTGCAGAAAATGCTGAAAATGTTGAAGAAAATTCTGAAAACTATGAATTTGTGGAAGCCCCATTATAAGTCAATGGGAAAAATCGGCCGATTTTTGTCCGATTGCGGAAAAACCGGAAATCGCTGAAGTCCCAAAAGTAATAGCAATAATCTCCCAAACATGTGGAACGTTTTGATGTATAACTTGTGGAAATTGTTGAAAATGTGAAAGCTGTGAAACGTGTCAAAAATCAGGAAAAAGACGGAATAAAGAACACCAAAACCAATGGTTGACTGCGGAAGGTTCCGCAGTCAATCAATAAAAGCAGCAGGTAGTGTGACTAGTGAGTGGCACATACTCTGCAGGTTTCATTGTACAGTCTGACAGCAGCAGAACCTCTCCTTTACACCACGAGGGTCTGAGGACTTTGAACAGTTTGATTCCGACAAAGTCAATTCCTCAACAGATGAAATGCAATAAACACCTCACAGGAGTCCTTGGTCCAGAAATGTTAATGATGTAAAAGTGTTTATTTTCTCCAGACAAAAGAGAAGATGAAGACTACGATGAGCAGGTGGAGGAGACGTTACAAGACGAGGTGTGTCTCTAATCTCCTCCTTCCTCTGTTCAGCTCCTTCCTGTGTTTATGACTAAAATATATCACTGATTGGTTTTCAGGACGAGAACGACGTGTACATTTTGACCAAAGTGTCGGACATCCTGCACTCGGTCTTCAGCTCGCACAAAGAGAACGTCCTGCTGTGGTTTGAGCAGCTGATGCCGCTGATCGTGGAGCTGCTGGTGAGTCTCAGAGGCTGAAGTTTCTGCTTCTATCATGTGGACTTATCTGTATTTATGGTCTTTTTATGATCGATCAGAGTGTGAGGCTCTTCACTACAGTCCTCCATCCTCCAACTTGAATGTTCCTGTTTTGGCTGCCTCTTGCTCTCTGGTCTCTCTCTCTCTCACTCTCACTGGTCTCTCTCTCTCTCTCTCTCTCTCTCTCTGGTCTCTCTGTCTCTGTCTCTCTCCCTCACTCTCTTGTGTCCGTCTCTCTCTCTGTCTCTGTCTCTCTCTCACTCACTCTCTTGTGTCTCTCTCTCTCTCCCTCACTCTCTTGTGTCTCTCTCTCTCCCTCACTCTCTTGTGTCTCTGTCTCTCCCTCACTCTCTGTCTCTGTCTCTCCCTCACTCTCTTGTGTCTCTGTCTCTCTCTCCCTCACTCTCTTGTGTCTGTCTCTCTCTCTCTCCCTCACTCTCTTGTGTCTCTCTCTCGCTCTCTCCCTCACTCTCTCTCTCTCTCCCTCACTCTCTTGTGTCTCTGTGTCTCTCTCTCTCTCTCCCTCACTCTCTTGTGTCTGTCTCCCTCACTCTCTTGTGTCTCTGTGTCTCTCTCTCTCTCCCTCACTCTCTTGTGTCTGTCTCCCTCACTCTCTTGTGTCTCTGTGTCTCTCTCTCTCTCCCTCACTCTCTTGTGTCTCTGTCTGTCTCCCTCTCTCCCTCACTCTCTTGTCTCTGTGTCTCTCTCTCTCTCTCCCTCACTCTCTTGTGTCTCTGTCTGTCTCCCTCTCTCCCTCACTCTCTTGTGTCTGTCTCCCTCACTCTCTTGTGTCTCTGTGTCTCTCTCTCTCCCTCACTCTCTTGTGTCTGTCTCCCTCACTCTCTTGTGTCTCTCTCTCTCTCTCCCTCACTCTCTTGTGTCTCTGTCTGTCTCCCTCTCTCCCTCACTCTCTTGTCTCTGTGTCTCTCTCTCTCTCTCCCTCACTCTCTTGTGTCTCTGTCTGTCTCCCTCTCTCCCTCACTCTCTTGTGTCTGTCTCCCTCACTCTCTTGTGTCTCTGTGTCTCTCTCTCTCTCTCCCTCACTCTCTTGTGTCTGTCTCCCTCACTCTCTTGTGTCTCTGTGTCTCTCTCTCTCTCTCCCTCACTCTCTTGTGTCTGTCTCCCTCACTCTCTTGTGTCTCTGTGTCTCTCTCTCTCTCTCCCTCACTCTCTTGTGTCTCTGTCTGTCTCCCTCTCTCCCTCACTCTCTTGTCTCTGTGTCTCTCTCTCTCCCTCACTCTCTTGTCTCTGTGTCTCTCTCTCTCCCTCACTCTCTTGTGTCTCTGTCTGTCTCCCTCTCTCTAAAGCCTAGCGTACATCGACAGAGAAACTGGGGACAACTAGTTGCAAGGCGGCTTTTGGCATCTGAGAGGAGATGGTGGGAGATGATCAGTTGCCAAAATCGGTCGATGTGAGCGCTCTTACAACTGGAGATAAACAGTCGGTCTCCAGTTTCAGTCAGTTGCCCGTGTTCTACTTTTCGGCAACTAGTTGTCCTCAGTTTCGGAGATATGACCCGATGTGTGCGCTCCATGCGCCGCTCCGACAACGTGTGTGTGTTGCGTGTATTGTGCGCCCTCTACAGTTTATGTCAGAAAACACACTGTAGTTGAGGCCAGTTGCTGTCGATGTATGCGCTGTTATTCCCCAGACTGGTCTGATACTGGGAGTTGCCCGTTTTCGTCAAATTGTCGATGTGTGCGGGGCAGCAACTCATATGCGACGGATATAATCAGTTGCCAGTCCGATGTACGCTAGGCTTTAGGTGATGTTCTACGATGGCAGCTCTCTGGGACACGATCACATGCTCGCAAATGTATTAGATTAAATGGTTAATTATTTTCTTTGACTCTGAACTGAATGGGTACTTATTTATTTTTAAAGGATGAATATAAAAATGTATTATCTACAATAATTCTGTATGACATCATGAATAACGTGCACATGCTGACACACACTTCCTCCTCCTGCAGAGAGCAGAGCGGCCCTGGGCGGACAGACAGTGGGGCTTGTGTATCTTTGACGACGTGGTGGAGCACTGCAGCCCCTCCTCCTTCAGATACGCAGACTTCTTCTTGGGGCCGATGCTGCAGTCGCTCGTGGACCCGGTGGCCGAGGTGCGGCAGGCGGCTGCGTACGGTGTGGGCGTTATGGCGCAGTATGGTGGCGCAAACTACTGCAAGTTCTGTAAAGGTATTACAGCAGTAATATAGAATCAAACTAATATCTATAATTTTCCGCTTCATCCATTGGCGGGTCACTGCGGCAGCAATCAGAGACCAGCTGGTGATCAGCTGACTGCTCCAAAATGTCAGATGACACGACAACAAAGTCAATCTTCTACCTTCGGCCTAAAGTCCTGGTTCCATGTGCACCCCATGGGCGATTAATACCCACCCCCCCCATGGGTGGTTGGTCCACGAGAGGGCCTGCCCCGTGGGCAAACGAAGTAGCAGTTAGATTTTATGTATTTATGTACAGCCCTGAAAACTGCTGTATTCTCGGAGGACTTTGAATCGTTTGTTGGTGAAGCAACTACTTATAAGAGAATCAAAAACATGAAATGCAAGAATAAACACAGGAGCCATTGGTCCATCAAGAGCAGGACGATCGCTGTCCTTAGTCCATGAGGGTCGCTTGAGAGTCCAGGAAAACTAGACCCAGAACTGTATTTTATTGCTACATAGTGTCAAAGTTTAACTGCTGCATGTTTCTAACCTAGTCTCCCCTCTCCCTGTCAGAGGCCATCCCAAGGTTGGTCCAGGTAATCCAGGCCCCGGACTCTCGCTCCAAAGAGAACGTGAACGCCACAGAGAACTGCATCTCGGCCGTGGGCAAAGTGATGCGCTTCCAGCCGGAGTGGGTCAGCGTCGGCGAGGTGCTCCCCCATTGGCTGAGCTGGCTGCCACTCAAAGAGGACAAGGAGGAGGCAGTCCACACCTTCGACTTCCTCTGCGACCTCATCGAAAGGTAACGGCCTAAACACAAGCCTTGGAAGCTCTTTGAGGAGAATGCTGTCCACGAGTCTCTTTAAACCTGTGCTTCTGGTCCTCTGCTGCAGTAACAACCCAATCGTCCTTGGTCCAGACAACGCAAACCTTCCCAAGATCTTCCTCATCATTGCGGACGGCGTGGCAAGCGAATCCATCAAATGTGAAGACTCCTGCAGCAAAAGACTGGCCAACGTCATCCGGGTGGGTGAATCAACAGTCCTGAGATAACTACTGTTGGGATTTAGAGCTATACAAGAATATTTATTTTAATTGATGTAGTGATGGAGACTGTTGCGGTCTAAGTTTACGAATAAAGCTGGGGCGCATAACTTTCAAACTATTCACCCTTTTCCTGGGTTTTCCTCAGGTTTCGGACGGTTTATGGACAACGTGCGTCTCTACATTGAACGAGTCTCAACAGAAAGCCATGCAGGACCTGCTAAACTCGGCCTAACCCTCTCCCGCAGACGCACCTCCTCCCACCTCCTCCCCCTCTGCTGCTCCGGGACTGAACCACAGCTCCAAACCACATCAGACTTGTAAAGAAAAAAACCGGGAGCCATCTTGGATACTTTCCCTGCCTTATGATCGAACGCATCCCAGCCATTCCTTGAGAGATTTTACATTAAAACGACAAACGGGAGATTAAATGGGAATAGGACATTTTTACATAAACTGAGCATTCAAATTACACTAGTCTTGTGAATTATTATTATTTTTTTTTGTATTTTATTTGCGTTTCCGGCGTTGAAGTTATGGCATGTTCATAGTGCTAACTAGTCATGAGAAACTTAGAATTGTGGTGAATTTTAGGGAGAGCTGGGTCTACTCTGCTCTCCCTCTAGAGTTTGAAGGTCAACGGCCTGCGATGGCATATTGCTGGTTTTAAAGGCTGCATATCCATGGACTTTGGGGCAAAATAGACGTAAGAGAAAAAAGGTTTGACACTGTTGCAGTCTGGAGACACGTGATGGAATGAGAACCACAATAAATTCCATTTGAAAGAACTACAATGTTTTGGTTTATTTCTTTTAAAATAAACTTAGCATAGTTCATCTGTATACAGTTAGACTTCACTAACATGGACTGTTCATAGCTAGCCTCAAAGCCCAACGATGCCCAATAGGGAAGTTTGGCTCCTATTCCCTCACCAAGGAAATTCTAGTTATTTTCAAAAAGTCCATTCGAGGTACTTTAATCTAATATTGAACCCTGTAGAACCTAAACTTTCCAAAACATTTTAGCAACAATGAGATTTGCGTGTTCAGGGTAAACCATGCTTTATTGGATTCAAACAGTAAACGAATGCCTGCAGCTGTGGACTCAGACCCATGCTGATGATTCTACCTTTTTACAAAAATATACTGGGCAAACTACAGAACAGTGACATATTTTAATCTTCAGAATGAGTTTGATTTGAACATAGGTTATAGAAAGACAAATCAAAAGAACTAATTCCCATACCAGCTGGGAGCTTGTTAGCAATGAGATGGCAACTGAACGCATTTCCATTAAAGTTTACAAAGATAAGTTAAAAATAAATCTCTTAAAGAATGATTGCTCCGTGACTGAAACGGCTTTTTGTGAATGACTCATTGGGTTAGACTCCTGTCAGATCAGCTGAGTATCAATGTGTGCAGTGGCTTCCAAAGTTTACGAGTGGAAAAATGGGAGAATTGTCTGGCATGTTTCTCAATGATCCTGTATTTGACTCCACTGTTTTAAACCAATGAGCTAGTTTAGATTTTAATTTCTGAATAGCAGAGTTAAGACAAATGGGCAAAACGTTCAGTCTCTGCGAAGCCTAGAGTCGTACTCCTCACTTGCGGTGATTGCAGGAAAAGGGAGTTCCATTTGTATAGATGGACGATGCTAACCCGCTAGCTCAAAGTAGCCCAACAGGGAAGTGCTCATGGACAGAGAACATTACTGATTCACTCCTAATATTTGGATATAACTCTCTTGTGTTTTAAGGTATTGTTTGAAAACCACTGTATATAATTTTACACATTTCTATATTTACAATCTTCTGTAGGGATAGTAAGTCCTTCTCCTGGTGCTTGATCTGTTACTGCAGCATGTCGACGAACGCATCAAACTCGTCCATGTTTTTCTCGTAGACTGCGAGTTTTTCAGGTAGAGAGTCCTGAGGAGGAAGATATTAGTGTTTCAAAATATACTGTTTATGCAATTTAATCTTTATCAACATGAGGGTGTGGCCTGTGTCCAAATACATTTCTAATGAGATTTTACTGCTGCTCTTAAATGCATCTGCTGAGCTGGTCTCAGTCTGGTCTCAGTCTGGTCTCAGTCTGGTCTCAGTCTGGTCTCAGTAGGATACAGTGTCTGTGTCGGAGCCAGTCCTCACCTAAGGCTGTTAAAGTCAAGACAAAACCCATATTTATGTTTTTAAAATCTGAACCAAAATCAAAAACTGGTAAAAATCTATTATTTCCTAAAATGGATATATCTGAATGTATATATTTATATTAATCTTGTTTAAAACAGTGAAAAATCTTGAATAAATGTCTCTTTAATGTTAAAAATCCACGTATCTGAATCGCGTTCATAATTCTACCGTGTCAGTCAGGTACCAGGTGGGTCACGTACCAGGGTGGGTCAGGTACCAGGTGGGTCAGGTACCAGGTGGGTCAGGTACCAGGGTGGGTCACGTACCAGGGTGGGTCAGGTACCAGGTGGGTCAGGTACCAGGGTGGGTCACGTACCAGGTGGGTCAGGTACCAGGGTGGGTCAGGTACCAGGGTGGGCCACGTACCAGGGTGGGCTACGTACCAGGTCGTCGGCCATGGACTGAGCGCTGATGTGCAGCGAGAGGCTGGCGAGCTGCGGCGGGTTCTGGAACTCTCTGTAGAACGTGCCCAGGTCCATGGGGAGAAGGTCGTCTTTGGAGAAGGCCGGTCTCTGCGACGCAAACGCCAGGGTCAGATACAGACACAAACTTTAATGATGTAAAAGTACAAATCAGAACAACATGCTGCGTTCATCTTAAAAACACACTTTTTGTGAAAGAAAGCCCTGAGAGTCGCTTTTTGCCTCTTTGGGCTGAAAGCTGATTGAGGGTGGGCCTCTCTTGTTCACTATTCAGACAGAGTTGGAGCAAAACCTTGTTCATGAGCACCTCCCTCTGGGCTCTATGCACTGCTCTAGTTTCACAGGTTTCCTAAATAATGCTCAAACTGATGCAGTGCATTGTGGGACACAGCAGTAAAGTGTCTGTTAACCCCTCCTCTCTTCTCCTCCTCTCTTCTCCTCCTCCCTTCCCCTCCTCTCTTCTCCTCCTCTCTTCTCCTCCTCCCTTCCCCTCCTCTCTTCTTCTCTCTTCTTCTCCTCCTCTCTTCCCCTCCTCCCTTCTCCTCCTCTCTTCTTCTCTCTTCTTCTCCTCCTCTCTTCCCCTCCTCCCTTCTCCTCTTCTTCCCCTCCTCTCTTCTCCTCCTCCCTTCCCCTCCTCTCTTCTCCTCTCTTCTTCCCCCTCCTCTCTTCTTCTCTCTTCTTCCCCTCCTCCTCTTCCCCTCCTCTCTTCTTCTCTCTTCTTCCCCTCCTCTTCTTCCCCTCCTCCCTTCTCCTCCTCTCTTCTTCTCTCTTCTTCTCCTCCTCTCTTCCCCTCCTCCCTTCTCCTCTTCTTCCCCTCCTCTCTTCTCCTCCTCCCTTCCCCTCCTCTCTTCTCCTCTCTTCTTCCCCTCCTCTCTTCTTCTCTCTTCTTCCCCTCCTCTCTTCCCCTCCTCTCTTCTTCTCTCTTCTTCTCCTCCTCTCTCTTCCCCTCCTCCCTTCTCCTCTTCTTCCCCTCCTCTCTTCTCCTCCTCCCTTCCCCTCCTCTCTTCTCCTCTCTTCTTCCCCTCCTCTCTTCTCCTCCCCTTCCCCTCCTCTCTTCCCCTCCTCTCTTCTCCTCCTCCCTTCCCCTCCTCTCTTCTTCTCTCTTCTTCCCCTCCTCTCTTCCTCCTCTCTTCTCCTCCTCTGTTCTCCTCCTCTCTTCTCCTCTCTTCTCCTCTCTTCTCCTCCTCCCTTCCCCTCCTCTCTTCTCCTCCTCCCTTCCCCTCCTCTCTTCTCCTCCTCCCTTCCCCTCCTCTCTTCTTCTCTCTTCTTCCCCTCCTCTCTTCCCCTCCTCTCTTCTCCTCCTCTGTTCTCCTCCTCTCTTCTCCTCTCTTCTCCTCCTCTTCTCCTCCTCTCTTCTCCTCCTCTCTTCTCCTCCTCTCTTCTTCTCTCTTCTTCTCCTCCTCTCTTCTCCTCCTCTCCTCCTCTCTTCTCCTCCTCTCTCCTCCTCTTCTCCTCTCTTCTCCTCCTCTCTTCCCCTCCTCTCTTCCCCTCCTCTCTTCTCCTCCTCTCTTCTCCTTCTCTCGTTTTGGACGTAACAATCGTGTCCACTTTCGTCTTGGAGCTCTTAATAAGACGGGCATGAATCTGTGTTTAAGTAGAGCGCCCTCTACTGGACAAACAGCTGGGGACAAAACAAGAGTCTGAACATTCAGCGCTAACGGCCGCGGACATTTTGGGACTTTTTCGTGTCATTGACCAAAAAGTAACTCATTGATCCAGTTTAGTTTGGAGTGAGCCGTTTATATAGAATCATTGGTCCAAAGGAAGCCAACTAGACTTAAAGGAATGTGTTTGATAAAAAAGTTCTTGGCACCTATAATAGTCTTAGGCCCCGTCCCAAGTCTCATCCTTGCCCTAGATTTTGCGTTCGGCGGGGGCTGTAGAGTGTCCCAATACTGAGGGAGAAGAGAGGCCTTCACACCCTAAAACCACCCTCGCACTCAAGTCAGGTCCGGAGCTCACTTGCGCTAAAAGTTTATCCCATGATGCATCACGATAGAAAGAAAACAACATGAAACCCCCATTCAGAGTTTTTAATACCTGTGTGTTGTG